CCGATAAAGATCTTCGTAGAATATATGGGAGCCAATATGAGCATCCAGGTTCCGCTATTGGTTATTGACCGGAGACGTGTCTCAGTCATGTCTACATAGTTCTCGAACCCGTAGGGTCCGCACGCTTAAAGTTCGATGATGGTTATACTATGAGTTTATGTGTTTTGATGTACCGAAGGAGTTCGGAGTCCTGGATGAGATCAGGGACATGACGAGGAGTCTCGAAATGGTCGAGACATAAAGATTGATATATTGGAAGCCTATATTTGGATATCGGAATCGTTCCGGGTGAAATCGGGATTTTACCAGAGTACCAGGGGGTTACCGAAACCCCCCCGGGGGTTAATGGGCCCACATGGGCCCTAAGCGAAAAGAGGAGGGCCGGCCAGGGCAGGCCGCGCGCCCCCTCCCCCCTAGTCCGAATAGGACAAGGAAGGGGGGCGGCGCCCCCCTTTCCTCTTTCCCCCTTCCCCTTTCCTTCTCCAACAAGGCAAGAGGGGGGAGTCCTACTCCCGGTGGGAGTAGAACTCCTCCAGGCGCACCCCTACGGGCCGGCCGCACCTCCCCCCTCCCTTCTTTATATACGGGGGCAGGGGGCACCCCATGACACACAAGTTGATCTTCTTGATCGTTCCTTAGCCGTGTGCGGTGCCCCCTTCCACCATATTCCACCTCGTTCATATCATAGCGGTGCTTAGGCGAAGCCCTGCGTCGGTAGAACATCATCACCGTCATCACGCCGTCGTGCTGACGAAACTCTCCCTCAACACTCGGCTGGATCAGAGCTCGAGGGACGTCACCGAGTTGAACGTGTGTAGAACTCGGAGGTGCCGTACATTCGGTACTTGGATCAGTCGGATCGGGAAGACGTACGACTACTTCCTCTACGTTGTGTCAACGCTTCTGTTGCTGGTCTACGAGGGTATGTAGACAACACTCTCCCCTCTCGTTGCTATGCATCACCATGATCTTGCGTGTGCGTAGGAATTTATTTGAAATTACTACGTTACCCAACACAGACATCATAGCTGGCGTTTCCTCAGAACTTTGTATTCATTGCCACATGCTGGGTGGTTGTGCATGGGCGATTTCAACGAGACTCTGTATGGCGATGAGCATTTCAGTCGAGCGGCTAGACCGGAATGGAAAATGCGCGCCTTCAGAGATGTTGTTGAAGAAATAGGTTTCCAAGATTTGGGTTGGTCTGGACTACCTTGTACTTGGGATAACAGACAAGCCGGAGGTGATAACGTGAAGGCAAGGCTTGATCGGGCTTTTGCAAACGAAGCTTTCAGGCAGCGTTATGAATCAATTCGAGTGCGTCACATCAGTGCGGTTGAATCCGACCATTGTTTTGTTGTTGCTGAGATCCGAGACAAGCCGCATGATCATGGTGCACGTTGACACAAACAGTTCAGATATGAAAATGTATGGCAGACCCATAGGGATTATGAGGATCTTGTCACGGGAACTTGGCTGAAACAAACTCGTACCCCGGGCTTACAAGGCATCGCAGATTCGCTGGGAGCACTCCAACGCACGTTGGAGCCGTGGGGGGTGCGCGAGTTTGGCTGCCTTTCACGCAATGTGAGACAGCTTTAGAAGAAGTTGGAGAAGATACGGGAACAGTCCATTGGGCGAGGCATGTCCGAGGAGGAGAAAAAGACCGCTGCAAAGCTTCGAGAAGCGCTGAAACAAGAAGAAATCTAGTTGAGGCAGCGGTCGAGAGTAAGTTGGCTGCGAGAGGGAGATCGCAATACAGGGTATTTTCAAGCACAAGCCAAACAACGTCAGCGCATGAATAGAATATGTGGGCTTATACGAGCTGACGGTTTGGTGTGTGCTGATCCCGAGGAAGACAAAGCAGAAATACAGTAATTCTATCCGAATCTTTACACCTCGCAAGGGGCTTTTGATATGAGTGAGCTGTTGGACCATGTCCCCGAGAAGGTGACACCGGAGATGAACCAGCTGTTCGATCAGCCATTCGATGCAAAGGAGGTACATACAGCGCTTTTTCAAATGGCCCCATCCAAGGCTCCTGGAGTTGATGGATACACAGCGGGATTCTTCCAAAGGCATTGGCAGCTTCTGAAGAACGATGTGACAGATGCAGTGCTTGGTTTTTTGAATGGTGGGGATCTTCCTTTGGGGTTGAATGACACGTCTATAACTCTTATACCAAAGGTATGACACCCACATATGATATCTCAATTTCGTCCTATTGCATTATGCCCAGTTTTGTACAAGATAGCAGCCAAGGCAATTGCGAACCGCTTAAGATGCTATATGGACGATATCATCAGCGAGGAACAAAGCGCCTTTGTTCCTGGGCGCTTGATCACTAACAACGTTTTGGTTGCTTTCGAAAGTGTTCACACTTTGCGAAGAAGGAAGAAGGGAAGAAATACTGCATGTGCATTAAAGCTGGATATGATGAAAGCTTATCATCGTGTGGAGTGGCACTATCTCAAGGCCATTCTTCTCAGGCTCGGCTTTAGCAATGCACTTGTCAGGTTGATAATGAAATGTGTTACGTCTGTGCGCTTCTCGGTACGAGTAAATGGAGAGTTACAACCATATTTCACTCCTTCGAGAGGCCTCAGGCAAGGATGTCCAGTTTCACCATTCTTATTTCTATTGTGCGCTGAAGGTTTTTCCTCTCTCTTGAAATATTATGGTGGCAACATTGGCAGAGGCGTTAGAGTAAGCTTTCGATCACCATGGATCAGCCATCTTCTTTTTGCAGATGATTGCTTGATTTTTCTCAGTGCAGATGCAACCAGTGCACAACGACTAAATGCCATATTGCGGATATATGGGGAAGCATCCGGGCAGTGTGTGAATCGTGACAAAAGTGCCATCTACTTCAGCCCGAAAACTCCACATACCATCAGGCAAGCTCTAAAAAATATCCTGGGGGTGAACGTTGAAGCTTTCAGCGAGAGATACCTCGGTCTCCCCACGGCGGTGGGCAGAATCACTAGCGGGACCTTTGATCACATAGGTGATCGATCAAGAGGCAAGATGCAAGGCTGGTCTGAAAGGCTCTTTGCGTGCGCGGGGAGGGAAACACTTTTGAAATCCATAATACAAGCAATCCCAACATTCAGTATGAGCTGTTTCCTACTTACAAAGAAGGTGTGCAAAAGCTTGACTTCCAGTATGGCTAAATACTGGTGGAGCAGTTCGATTGATAGAAGATCTCTTCACTGGATATCATGGAAAAATCTCACGGTACCAAAATGCAAAGGAGGTATGGGATTTCGTGATTATCATCTGTTTAACTTGACACTATTGGGGAAACATGGGTGGAGGTTTATGACCAATCCCAACTCACTATGTGCTAGAGTTTTGAAGGGGAGGTATTTCCCCGACAGTGATTTTATGCAGGCCCAAGTGCCACACTCTGCATCGGCTGTATGGCGTGCCATCATTGCCGGGCGGGAAGCTCTTGAGGCGGGAGTGGTTCAGCGTGTGGGCGATGGCTCTACCATCAATGCCTGGACCGATAAATGGACCCCAACTACTGTCTCCCGGTCACCGATCCTCAAGCCAGCGAACACAAGTGTTGAACATGTGAGCAATCTGATTGATAACACTAATTGGACTTGGAGATGAGACTTAGTTCGAGGTACATTTGCCACACCTGATGCTGATGCAATACTGAATATACCACTATGGCACGATGGAGGAGAGGACTTTCTTGCGTGGGCACATGAGAAATCTGGTAACTACAGTGTGAAATCAGCGTACCGAGCTTTGATGAACCACAATGAGCAACGAGCTCTAGGCGAAGGGCCCGGCACCGGAACTTCAGTGGATCAAACACATATGTGGAAATCACTTTGGTCTCTCAAAGTTGTCCCCAAGGTACGTGTCTTCTGGTGGCGTGTCATGCGTGGCATTCTACCTGACAAGAAGACGCTACATTATAGACATATTCGAGATGTCAGTTTATGCAAACTCTGTCAAGCACATGAGGAAGACCTTGAACATGCGTTAATTTACTGTTCGCACGCGAGACAGTTCTGGGACAAAGCGCACCTTGTTCTGGACATCAAGCTACCGCGACTGCATCCGTCCTCATGGGCTGGCGATATCTTATGTGGGTCTATGTTCACCGACAAGGAGCGAGCAACGATAATCACTATAATGTGGTCCATCTGGAGTTCTCACAATAGATGGACGCATGACGGTATGAAGTACGATCCGGTGAACTCCATCAAACTCACTAGAGAGGCCTTGGCCTTACTTGATGTACCTAAACAGCAAGCTACAACGCTATCGAGACATGGTTGGCAACCACCTGAATCAGATCAAGTAAAGATCAACACCGATGCAGCTGTGCGGTTCACAGAGGAGAAAAGCGGAGCGGGGGGTGTTGCCCGCTCCCAGACAACACCGATGGGCGCCTGGTGCAAGCCCCATCTTGGGGTCACTGATCCTATGATCGCCGAGGCGCTAGCCCTACGGGATGGAGTAATCTTCGCAAATCTGAGAGGCTATGTCAATGTGATTATGGAGACCGACAGTCTGGAGATTGTGAATCTATGGAACACTCGCCGCAACAGTCGCTCTGTTGTGGCACTAGTTTTCTTTGAAATTGATGAGCTAGCGGATAGTTTTCATTCTTTTGTATTTCAGCATGTTAGTAGATCTGCAAACGGTCCAGCACACTTGTGTGCCCAGCGTGCATGTAATGTATCTATAACCAAGAGTTGGCTCTCTGAGATTCCGAGTTTCCTGGTTAGCAGCCTATTGGCTGACCGCCCAGCGAACACTTTTGTTTGAATAAAGCTCAGAAGTTCCATGAAAAAAAAGAGAAAAAATTACCGGGCAGATGGGCCATGAGGCTGGAATGTGATTACGGAGAAGAAACCCACCCAGCCCACATAAACGGTGTAGACCTGAGTTGCTAGTTCGACCTCGGACCTCCAGAGTCCCGGAAGAAACAGGGGTTCCGAGGCAGAAGATCGGAGGAAGAAGAGGGATCAGGCATGGACATCATCTCGCAGCTGCAGGAGCAGCTCAACGAGATGGCCATGGTGGCCGTCAACACCTTCGGCACGCTGCAGCGCGACGCGCCGCCCGTCCGCCTCTCCAACAGCTACCCCGACCCGCTCAACCCGAACCCTAACCCCGACGGCCCCGCCTCCCAGCCCCAGCCCCAGGCCCCGCCCGCGCCCGGCGCGCCGCCGCCGGCACCTGTACCGCCGCAGCCACCGCAAGCGCCGCCCCAGCCGGCCCTCGACCTCGCCGAGCAACCCAAGGCCATGAGCCACGCGCTCGTCCTCGCCGCAAAGAAGGTGCGCATCCCGTGCCCTCTCGCATCTCCCCCCTTTTATTCTCTGTTCGACACCTGCTCGAGGAATTCCCAGTTCCTACAACTTATTTTGATAAAACGAGCACTTATATATGACCCTGATTCAAAACCTGCAAGGCATTAGCAACTAATTCATCATCCTGATTCCAAACACAGATGTCGCCTCTCTTCTGTGAATGAATTTAAACCGATTTCCCTCCTAAATTGCACTCTCAAATTTTTGACAAAGCTGCTAGCTAACATGTTGCAATCCATTATCCTAAATTCGGTCAATATAAAACAATAAGGCATTATTAGACCCAGAATATGCTGTGATTAATAAAAGAATGAGGGTATAGTTCCTGAGTACTAGCAGGGCATGTTGTGTCAGGTCCGTGATATCGATATATTGGGTTAGCTGACCTAGCTGTTAGATGATCCGTGCTCCTGTTTCTTTTACTGTTCTTCTGTTTTACCTGCAATGCTTACAAGACCGTTGCTGGTAGAGTGGAAATTTGTCTGTTTTATCATTTGTGTCATACAGCTAGAGCACATAGTATAGCGAAAGTGCCCATGTTTTGTCTTACATGGACATTATGATCAGCATACTTCTCCTCTCTTAGGTTGTAATCGTGATAATTATACTCTCTTTGTCTTCCACGCCTTCTGCGATTATGATTATATCATGTGATAGTGTCATGCCATATTTCATCTGTAGTACACAAACATGAAGCACAATTTTGCTAATCTCGAAAGAGACCAAACTTGTGCTGAAATGTGCCTCTAGTTACTACTTTCAGTATTGTTCTGACAATAGTAAAAAAAAAACATTGTCCCTTCCATGCAGTTTGATGCTCTTGTTGCTGCATTACCACTGTCATCTGAAGAGGATCAGTTGAAAAGAATTCAAGAACTTCAGGTATGTTTCAGCTTCACGGTGTCAGTATCAGAGTATATGATCAGCGAACATAGGCTAACTTACCAAAATAGTTACACAAGGAATTATGCAGCAGGCATTTCTGAATCAAAGGGCACTAACACCCTTTATTATGAAAAACACCCTTTATTATGAAAAACTTGAAAACTAAAGCATCTGTTACACATAACATAAGAGAAAGCTATAGAAGGATGCAGCAGCACCTCATTTATAGGAAAAGTACTTACAAGACGGCAACATGTAATTTGCAACTATACATCTGCTATTTTCACTTGGATGTGGTCTCATTGTATCTGCTACTGGCAGTTTAACATGTTTTAGTATATTATACTATTGTGCAAATGTTATGCTTTCTCCTGTTTGTTCTGCTTGTGCGTAGCATTTCATGTTAGACCTGTCCTCCTGAAAGATTTATCTCTGAAGACTAGTAATGAACGTTTGTGTTCTTAAAGTTAAACCGAAGAAAAGCAGATGCTTGATGTTACAAGTTTATAACGTTTCATGGTAATTATTTTTAGGACAAAATTAGTTCCTCCTGATATTTTCCAGAAAATGGCCACCATTTTTCAGTACCCGATTACCCATCAGCGAATTCTTGTTTTATGGGTTGTCTTGGCAAATGCTTAACAGTGCATCGTCTAAGATCCACATTTACCTTGTTTTTATCCTGCAATCAAATCATGTAAACTTGAAATTTGCAGGCAGAGAACGAAGTTGTTGGATTGGAGCTTCAGAAACAACTTGAAGCTGCTGGTAACATTTTTGAATTTTGCACTTCTTATCATGGTATAGCTGACTAACAGCTAATGTATATATATTGTTCCTTCCACAGAACTGGAATTGGAACGGGTTGAAGTGTTGTTTAATGAAGCTACAGATAACTGTATAAATTTGAAGAAGCCAGATTAGTAATATTATGCATGTAAGTTTGAATGGCATCCTTCCCCGGTATATTAGTAAACTATCAACCATCAATTGGTTATTGTGTTTTCAGCACGGGATGTTTTTGCATAGCCTAAAATAGTGAAGTAGGCCTTGAGTTAACTCCCATTCAAATTTGTGCCATTTCAGGTAGCCGCACCTGTGTTGGTGGAGACATGAATTTCCAGCATTCTGGTGTTTACTTTCTTGTACAAGTCTCTAAAATGTCTTGTGCAAGCCTCTAAAATGTCTTATATTTGTTTACAGAGGGAGTAGTTCCTAATGTCTTACAGCTTCCAAGCTAGATTTGTCGACAGTAATGTTGTCTTGTTTTAACTTGCGTGCATTGATATTCCATGAGCACTTGCTGGATGAGTTATTAAAGTTCAGTGTTGTAACACCTATACCCTGAAATAGTTTAAAGAATCCTTTGCGTGGATTGGTCTGGTAAAAGTTCACCAGGGTAACTGAAATGATATTTCACTGTCAAAGAAAGAGCATAGGATGGACATCTCATGATCACTCAAAACACTGAAGCTATGCCTGATTCGAACAATGGCAGTTCTGATGGTGAAAACAAACACACTAAACTTTCTAGGGGACAGACACATATATCCTAGAAACATCTTATTTTCTCGGCTTCAGTGACCCCCCCTGGTCTCAGGCATACTTGCAAGTGCCTAGACCTGCAATGAAGTTAAGTGAGAAAGAAGCGGTCAGATGAGCACAAGAGAGAGATTTGAGAAACGGCGGCATGAGATGAGATGTGTGATGCTTACTGGGGTCGGTGATGCTGATGATGCCGGTGGCGTTGAAGAAGCAGTTCCAGGTGTTCCTCCCCCTGGCCTGGTAGTAGGCGTTCATGGCCACCGAGGCCCGCGACAGCAGCACGCCGCCGTTCTGCGCGGAGCAGCCCCCCGTGCCCTGGATCGCGCTACAGTCGCTCTCGGAGCAGGCGAACTCCAGGTTGGCCCTCAGCGCCGCCTCGCCCGTCGATGGCTTGGCCACGCACCACGTCTTGGCCGCAGCCTGCAGCAGCAAAACTATGAGTAAATCAAGAGCTGAAGAACATGGCACCTGGAGCAAGATGAAGATAAGCTGTCTGTCAGGAGAATGACTCTCACCTGTTTCTGCTGAAAGCTTGGTGCCGCTGCCGCTGAAAGAATTCGCCACAGAGAGAACAATCGATCGATGTTAGAAACTACAGTATAAATAGATCAGAGACCAAGCAGTAAAGTAGTACATCTGCAGAGAGATTTTGCCACGGAATTCGGAGAATCTCGAGCAAGTTGAGGATGCAGATGAGATTGAGGAGTGATGGTACCGTGAGTGCAGTGCGTCAGCAGCACGAGAGCGGAGGCGAAGGCCATGAGCCTGACGGTGGTTGAACCCGAACCCATCTCTTTCTTGTGACCAAGAGAGAGGACGCAAGAAACTGTTTTCTCTATGTTATATGTGAGGATGCAGAGGAGAAGGTGTGTGCCGCCGTTTCAGTTCATGCTCGCGGCGTGGCGGTGTGTGCGTGTATATATGCAGACGAAGAAGAAGAGGGGGGAAGCCGAAGCAGAAAGGGTGTGCTGCAGAAGCGGTTCACCGCAAAAAGAAGGAAATAGCAAATCCAATTTATGCCCAGCATTCATTGCGGGGTTGCCGCATTTATATCTCGCCAAAACGCCTCCGTTTCTTCTGAGCATGAAGAAGGAGCACGCAAGCCGGATCGGGGACGGGTCAGTTACGACCATGGTTTTACGAGACAAGTGACCAGGAAATGACGCGAAAATAAAAACGACACAAGCACTGTCATGCTTTGTGCGCGTGGTATCTCTACGACACGACACGACACGCGAGGTAAACTCGGTTCTAAGTATCAATATACCGCTAGCAGGCTTGCTTCTACCTATCATCAGGTATATGCTACACTTCCAACAAGACTGCCATAGTTAGGATTCGGTAAAACCGAGCTCGAGCTCATGTGAGCTTGACTGTAAAAATGTAAAAAAAAAATCTGATTTTTTTAGCAAATACTCCCTCCGTTTCTAAATATAAGCATTTTTTTTAAAGATTTCAATACGGACTACATGCAGAGCAAAATGAGTGAATCTACACTCTAAAATATGTCTATATACATCCGTATGTAGTTTCTATTGAAATCTCTAACAAAACTTATACTATAACGGAGGGAGTATTAACAAATGTTTTGATATCTTCCAAAGTTTCAGCATCGGATGATATTCATTGAAAACGTGGCAAAAAGAAAAAAAACAAAATCGATGCTCCAAACGTGTTATTTCCGAGCCTTTTGGAGCGTCATTTTTTTTCCGGCCATGTCTTCCACGAATGTCATTTTCTGATTAAACTTTGCAAGCAATGGACACATTTCTCAATGTTTGCTACATCTAACAGGTCTTGGTCCACTGAAATTTCAAAGAAATTTCACTTGCATATGGGATGTGTATGTAGTTTAGCCCACATTGACAGTAGAGAGGAGACACCAATTTATAAGGTTGTCTTTTACACTAATCTCTACTATTAAAAGGGGATCTGCAGTCATCGTGATGGTTCGACCTCCTGAGATCCACCCACGATCACCTCGCTCCCCTCCTACGACCCCTCTCTCCCCAACGATTAAAGAAAAAAAAAGCCACGATAAAAAAAAAGTAGCCACGACCCGGAACAGGGACACATCCCACGTCCAGCAACCTGCAACCCCCTCGCTCCTCCCAATCCCCATATCGCTCCTCAGAAAATGCACCACCGCCGTCCCTCATGCTACTAGCCGACGGCGTCAGCCGCTTCATCGAGGTCGACGAGTCCCTCCACCCAAGACCCAAACATTTCGCTCACCTGCCTTGGTGGCTCCGTCCGTCTCGACGGGGTCGGTTACTAGATCTCAATCATCCGACTCATCAACACGACAGCACCCTCGGGCCTCGGCTTCGGCGGCGGGTCGATCCAGATCGCGCGTTGCGGTGGTGGCCGGCTGCGTGGAAGCTAGGCCCACCTTGAGAAGGGACGCGCGGGACACACACACGTATGCAACCCAGGAACCTCGGCCGCTGAGATGACGACGACGCATCAGTTTGCGACGAGGCGCGCATGCATGTTCTTGAGGAAGGGAAGGTGGGGTGCTTCGAGCTCGCGCCCGCTCAGGTCGTCGGCGCGCCGCCATCTTGTGTCGGCCAGGCTTACATATTGGTTCAAGCCTCGAGCTGTCCAGCACCACCCGTTACTCGACCTCGCGTCCGCCAAGGTCACAGGTGCCCACCGGAGCCCTGCTCTGCTGCAAGCCACCGGCGTACTGAGGGTCCAGAGCGTACTGAGGGTCCAGAGCGGCCCGGACACGACGGCGGACTGCCAGGCGTGGAGCAACGGCCCCGACCTTGACGTGCTTCCGGGGCAAGGCGTGCCAACCTGGACATGGTGGCGACCGCCAAGAGAAACTGGAGGGCCGCAGTCCAGGCCAACGCCGCCACTCTCGCGCACCTCTACGCCCTCTGCAATAATGACCGGCGGCGCTGCTTCGGTGATCGCCGTTACTACTGATCGCTTCTTTCGTTCACTGGGGCTGGGATGGTTTGATTTCAAGATTCGGTATTCAGAGAATCAGAGTTAATTTTCGTGGTTGATGCGATGTACAGATATAAGGCACGTACACATCTTCTCTTCATCCTCCCCGGTTTTAATTCTATCCGCCTCGCAGGATTGCAAGCATCTTTGACAGATATATGAAAGCCTGCATCATTTGCTTTGATGAGATGGACGTCCAGCAGGTGCACCAATTTAGTTTAAACCTAATAACTTTGTTGGCCTTTTCCTAATAATCTTCCTTTTCTTTTCCACGAAGAAAATTATCAATGAGATGTGAAAGATGAAGAATGAGAGCAATGGGATTAAGATCATCATGAAGCAGTACGTGGGTGAGGACCTGAGTTTGCTGACTCTGCGAGATGTGAGCAATCTTCAGTAGCAGATTGAGTTCTCCCTGTACAAGTTTTGCCTAAGGAAGGTTACAACCCAACAATTAGTAGATGCATGGTTTTGTATGCACATTGTCATGCCACCCTACTTGAACTGTTATATTTTTTTCTGAGCAGAATGCGGACCTTATTAAGACCTATATATATTTATGGAAGATTCAACAGTTGGAAGCTGAACTAAAACTGCAGAAGTTCTCTGCTGCCTGCAGAAATTGTTTGCGTGATCAACTTGCACTGGATAAGGGCATGCTTATAGACGAACTAGGTTCAGGTTGTGAAGTAGGAACACTCAAAGTGTCAAGTAAGTTACTGAAACAATATCATGTGTTCGTGACACTTTCTCTAATAAGCACTCTTCTTTTTTAGATGAAGTTGACTAAGGAGAAGAGGAAAGAGAACACTCATCCATACATGAAAAACTGGATATGGAGCTGGAAAAAGGACTTCAGCAAAAGGAGGTACTATTTTTCTTTTCTTATGATTGTAATTGTTCATATACAAATTTACAAGTTGTCTGGCTCGACCTTGACTCTTTGTTCACATGTACCGAATAATCTTCATTCCGCCATCCATTTTATGTTGCCCCTCATTTCCCTCTTTTGATCACACAATTCAGTAGAAACTCTTTTTGGGTGTATCTTACCAAACTGACCTAATAATTTCAAGCCAAGGACTGTACCGTGTACTCATATATGTACCAAAAATTGTAGATTTTCAGAAAATGGGAACAAAATACACTTGTGGTACGAGAATTCGAACTGAGAGTTATGTATAAAAATTTCTTCCTTTTACTTGTGGTTACAATTAGAGCCATTGCTTCATTGCCACAAGTGGTGGTAATACATGCATCTCTCAATCGGGAAAACGCAAATGATCAGGTTAGTCTGCAGGTTTCTATACCCGAACCTAGCTTGTTGTATTTCGATTAATTTTTCCACAAGTTGTGAGCTGCAGTGTTGATCATGTTAGTTGGCAGCCGTTTAGGATGGAAGTAACACAATTTATATTACATCATAAATTCCGGTCTGGTGCTGCATTTTAGGTTCAGCTTGAGGCGAAGGTGTTGCCATTCTCTGAGGCAAAGGTGTTGCATTCTCTCATAGCGGGGCGAAGAGCACAACCCTGACAACACAACCCCTTCCAGGGTCACTGGTGAATTTTTTCAAGTTTATTTATCTTCTGGGTCATGTCCATTATTTATCACAGTAGGATTCTCGGCCTGAGGGTATCGTGAGTGTGAGCATTTTAATGGAGTTGCGCAATTATTTATCTTCATAAGTGGAAATATTAGTTATGTGGTCATGAACATAACTAATGATACCCATGTTTTAGAATGAATCGTGACGATAAATATGTTACCCTGAATTTTGAGTATGAGTCGACTCGATTTTGTTTAATTTTTAGGTATATAAGATGATACCTATCACAACACATTCATGAGCCGTGTGTGGCGTACACATTGCGAATTAGATGATGTTTTGTTCAATATCTCTATGTCAGCAAATTATATGATGTTTTGATCACTATCCTGATGTCAAAATTTGTTCTTAAAGTCTCAGTTTGTTCCCCGTGGCAACGCACGGGCACCTAACTAGTTCTTATAGCATGAGAAAAGAGAACGACAATGTGCAAGCTCATTGACTACTCGCGTCGCGTGAATTGGGTTCGAATTAGTAAGCGGCGTGTTGGATGATTAAACTTTTGCTTTGTGGTACGAGAAAGATTACCGGGTGAAGCGACAACAACACTTTAGCATCATTCCCTCTTCTTGGAGGGGTCGTCACCAGACCTTCGATCGCTCTCAGCTAGTCATCGTGGGTGTGGTTTGTGGACAACCATGAATTGCTTTTGGTGTGGCTTACGGTGATGGTCATGCTGAGAGTCCTGTTTTTTTTCTTGGCGGTCCATTTTCCTCAGTTGCCATTTGAGCTATAGTGTGAGTGTCCTGTCGTTTGATAAGTCGATTCTATTTGGACCAAGGCAAGCGGGTGGGGAGCAGTGGCGGAGCCAAAAATTTCTTCATTTGTGCATTTTTATAGCAATATTATTGGATTATGGATGAGCTTAGGCCCATATAAGACACTAGTACCTGGTTAATCTTGAGGCCTATGTATAAGATGGCAGGTGATGGGAAGTTTAGTCCCACCTTGCTAGTTGAGGAGAGTTGGGACCCCTTTATAAGGGCTACTCTACCGCTTGCTTTGGGAGCTTGGGAAGAGAAGTGGTACACGCGCGCTTCTCCTCCTCCGCCGCCCGCCTCGCCACGCGCGTCGCGGGTATGAGCCGACCCGAAGCTTATTTCTGCCGCTCAGCATGTGGGCCACTGTCCAAGACGTTGGACTGTGGGCTGACTTGCGTTGTCGGGATTCGTCGACTCCCTTGCCGGGACCCGCGTTGCCAGGATTCGTCGACTCCCTTGCCGG